TAAATGCTACTTTTAAGAATTTCCCATAGGGCTAATGGTAAATGTTTCTCCAGTTTCCATGGTAATGGCAGCCATTTTGGAATTTCTTAATATGGTCAACACATCTTGGCATGCCAGGCTACATTCCACTAAAGTTTCATCTACTTGGGTCCCGTAATGAAAGATTTAATGGATTTGCAATTTTAATTTTTTTTTCACATTTTTTCTGTTTCCATGGTAACGGCAGCCATTTTTTAGTTCCAAAGTTGCACTGCAACTCGAAAGTCAGGGTTCCTTGTTATAGTGCCCCATCATTTAGATTGGTTCCTTTGGCTCTGAGAAAACGGGCGGACAAAATTAGGTGAAAGAAAAATAATAATAACTAGATTTGCCATTGCAAGCAATAGCGGATGTCACCCTTCCCCCATTGCCACTAAGTGGCAGCCATTTCAAAAAATTTTAACAGTGAATGCACATATATGCATAGCTATATATCTTTCTGTAAATTTTCAGCACATTCAGAGCATTAAAAAAAAATCACATTTTTGCCGTTTCCATGGCAACGGCAGCCATTTTGAAAATTTCAAAGTCAAAAGTCTCATCTATGCTTGTCAGTTAACAATAATATCAAGTTTCATTAAGTTTGAACCATTTTGAAAATGTTTGACATTTTTGCAGTTTCCATGGCAATGGTGGCCATTTTGGAAATTCCAAAGTCAAAAGTCTCATCCAGACTTGCCATTCAACAATTATATGAAGTTTCATGAATTTTGGAGCATTTTGAAATTTTTGAAATTTTGGACATTTTTGATGGTTCCTCTGGTAACAGAGACCATTCCCAAAATTTAATGACAGATGCCACATTGGAACACGGGAGGGAACATACCATCAAAGTTTCAATCGATTTGACCTACCATTTTAAGAAAGTAAATGCTACTTTTAGGCTTTTGGAGAATTTTGACCTGTTTTGCATTGTTTCCATGGTAACGGCAGACATTTTCGATATTCCAACGCCAAATTCCACATCTACCAATGTTGCTCATCGTTACTGTGAAGTTTCATTAAATTTGGAGCATTTTGATATTTTTGAAATTTTTGGTGTAGTTTCCATGGCAAAATAGAAGTGCCAATGATTGCCAAAATCATCCAAAACCAGTTTATAGTGGGCATCTACATTGTATTAAAATCTAATGATTTTAAGTTTAAGCATTCTCAAATAATTCACCGAACTCCAAAATTATATTTTTTCACCATTTTTCAGTTTCCATGGTGATGGCAGCCATTTTTTAGTTCCAAAGTTGCACTGCAACTCGAAAGTCAGGGTTCCTTGTTATAGTGAACCATCATTCAGATTGGTTCCTTTGGCTCTGAGAAAGCGGGCGGACAAAATTAGGTGGAAGAAAAATATTAATAACAATAATAGGGAAAAAGAAACAGAGGAAAAGCAATATGTCACCTGACATTGTCGATCGGGTGACATAACTAGATTTGCCATTGCAAGCAATAGCGGAAAACTTTGGACATTTTTGCTGTTTTCATGGTTATGGCGGCCATTTTGAACATTCCAACTGCAAAATGCAACTCTGCCTATGCCAGTTACCATTTCATCCAGTTTGCAGAATTTTGATTTTTTTTTAAATTTTGGACATTTTTGCTGTTTCCATGGTTACAGTGGATAATTCCAAAATTCTAAAAGCAGACATCTCATTGCCACATGTCATGTTATATATCAATACAGTTTCACTGACTTTGATGAAATACTCTTTAAGAAAATGCTGATTTTATGCATTTTCCCATAGGGTCAATGTAAAACTTGCCCCATGTTTCCATGACAACGGCGGCCATTTTGGACTATCCAAATATTGTCTTGACATCTTAGCATACTGGGTTACATTTTCATAAAGTTTCATCCAGTTGGGTCATATATCGAAAGAGTTAGAATTGTCACTAAGCGGCAGCCATTTCGAAAATTTTAAACAGTGGATGCACATATATGCATTGCTATACACCTTTCTGCAAATTTTCACAACATTAAGAGCTTTTTGAAATTTTTCACATTTTTTATGTTTCTATGGAAACAGCGGACATTTTCGAAATTCCAAAGTGTAAAGTCTTATCTATACTTGCCAGCTAACATTTATATTAAGTTTCATTAACTTTGGAGCATTTTTGAAATTTTTGCTGTTTCCATGGTAACGGTGATTAATTCCAAAATTCCAAAGACATATGCCACACTGACTGATGACATGTTACATATGATTGAAGTTTCATTTGGTTTAATCTTATATTCTTTAAGAAAATGCTCCTTTAATATGTTTTTCCATAGGGTCAATGTTAAACTTTTGCCCAGTTTCCATGGCAATGGCAGCCATTTTGGAATTTCTAAATACAGTCGGTGTTTCCACACATACCAGGCAACATTTCCATAAAGATTCATTTGGTTTGGTCTAATAATAAAAGAATTGGCTTTTTTGAAAAATTTTCACATTATTGCGGTTTCCATGGAAACGGTGGCCATTTAAAAAATTCCAAAGGTGTCCTGCATAACTAGAGTTGGTGGTCCTCATTATGGTACCCATTCATTATGATTGGTCCATTAGTCTATGAGAAAACTCTAGGACAAAAAAGGTGGAATAATAATAATAATAATAATAAAGAAACGGAGGAAAAGCAATATGTCACCCGACATTGTCGTACGGGTGACATAATAACAGTATGTCACCCCAACTCCGTTGAGGGTGCCATAACTAGATTTGCCATTGCAAGCAATAGCGGATAGAACCCTTCCCCCATTGCCAGGCCAGCGGCAGCCATTTAGAAAATTCCAAAGTCAAAGAGGGCACCTGCAGATGCAAATTATCATTTTTGTAAAGTTTCATCCAGTTTGCAGCATTTTGATTTTTTTTGAAATTTTGGACATATTTGCTGTTTCCATGGTTACAGTGGATAATTCCAAAATTCTAAAAGCAGACATCTCATTGCCACATGTCATGTTATATATCAATACAGTTTCACTGATTTTGGTGAAATACTCTTTAAGAAAATGTTGATTTTATGCATTTTCCCATAGGGTCAAGGTAAAACTTGCCCCATGTTTCCATGACAATGGCGGCCATTTTAGACTATCCAAATATTGTCTTGACATCTTAGCATACTTGGTAACATTTTCATAAAGTTTCATCCAGTTGGGTCTTATAATGAAAGAGTAAGAATTTTTGATTATTTTAGCTGTTTCCATGGTAACGGCAGCCATTTTGAAAATTCCAAAGTCAAACTGCAAATCAGCACATGCCAGATAACATTCCTGTGGAGTTTCTTCCAATTTGGAACACTTTGATTTTTTTCGCATTTTTGCTGTTTCCATGGAAACTGCGGCCATTTTTTACCATTCCATAGCAAGGAGCACAACTTTACATGAGGGTCCTCATTATAGTAGAGTTCCATCAACATTGGTCCATTGGATACGTAAGTGGCAGCAACCCAACAACAGATTTCAATGATTGTGGCAAAGTTTGATAAAATTTGGCCCTGAATTTTCAGAGAAAATATTTGTAAAATTAACTGACAACGATGACAGATGTCAAGTGAAGAGAAAAGTTTTCTCGTTTGAATTGTTTTACTTTGTCATTTCGGGGCCTGTTATAGCTGACTATGCGGTATGGGATTTGCACATTGTTGAAGACTGTACGGTTACCTATAGTTGTTAATTTCTGTCATTTTGGTCTCTTGTGGAGAGTCGTCTCATTGGCAATCATATCACATCTTCTTTTTTATATTGACCTAATTCCTTTACTATTGGAACCATAATCCCCCAAATCAATCTCAACCTACCTATTGGGGTATTGAACTTTCTTGTCAAATTTAATCAAGATTCAATCACTGAACAAAAGTTTTTGTCTGGAAACCAAATGTGTTTTTGGACGGTGATGATAAATCATTATACCAACTCAAAAATTATTTTCCTTCCTCCTATTTAAAGAAATGGCAGTCATGGTTTGTGATACTCTAAGGATCTTTCAGCTGAATTTGGTGTGGTTGAATTTTGAATTGGTTCAGTAGTTTCAGAGAAGACTTTTTGTGGTTAAGAGTGGACAACAGATGCATACTACAGACAGACTCCAAGTGATGACAAAAGTTCACATTTCATATAAATTGTGTGAAACTTCATGTGCATGAATTACTGCCAAAGGATAATAACAACATCGGATGAACATATGCGAACATAAGTATCTGCTCATGACCAAGTTATGTACCAACATCAAATCAAAATGTTCAAGCATAACCTCAAGGCCTGATTTCACTCTCGTTTTTTACTGGTTGTTGTAAATGTATTTTGGTTTTTGAGTCTTTTATTTCTCTCCTTGATTTTGATATATTTTTCGCCTTGATTTTGATTATTGCCTCAAACAAAAATGGAATAGTGATTTATGTGAATCTTTTATGTTCAATGATATTAAATGTGGCAAAAAAAATTATGAGATGGAACATTGAATTTAAACAGGTCATGATTAAGTTATACAAAAATCACTGCAAAGTCGAAATTCTTTAAACTAATTCAGGACCAGGACTTCTTTTGAACTAGATTTTAAAATTATCTTTCAATAGGTGTTTATTTATTCTACATTGGCTAGAGGGCAAGAGGTGAAATTCAGATCTCACAAAACATGTTTAAACCTGCAGCATTTTGAGCCTGTTTCAAGTCAGTAATTTATATTTTTTGGTATCAAAACTGGTGTGGTTTTCATGTTTGTTCATCTCTTGTATTTTCAATGTGTACGAGCAGTGTCCATTTTCCTGGCATAGTAGATGCATGTTTTGGAGCCTGCTCAAGTCAGCCTCTTGATGGAAATTTTCACATTGAAGACCCATTCAATGTTGGCCTAAGTGTTGTTTTGTACATTTGGTCAGGTTTTTTCTACACATTCCCCATTTCTATACTTTATAGTATTATGAACATTTAATAAATTCTTGATATATAGTTAGTAGAAGTTAAAATAATTTAAGAATAAGATTCTAATCAAGCACGTTTATTTCCTGTTAAACAAGTGTAAAAAAAAATCAATAAAATCCAAAGTTAGCGTCTTGCCCAAGTTCATGTTCAATAAATAAAAATAATTATCATTTTTTTCCCTCAAAAAAACAAAACTAACAAATTTAAAGGACAAAGTTATATCATATCTCCAGCATATTGTAAAATTAGTCTTCCTGGATGCAGATGCTGGCAACTATATTATAAGCATGTGTCAGTCTCAGTTTTGGTAAGGTCAGCATAAAATCTTCAAAATCATCTGTTTGATTTATGAGCTCGTCTTTATCTATAGTAGTAAGAAATGCTTTCAACTCTGTATCAAAAAGGGTCAGTTTTGTTGATAGGCTGCTGTCCAAATCATCTACAACATTTATTTTGCATATTGAAACAACTTTTAAAGATTCATTTCTTTGTTTCATTGAACAGGAAGTACATTTAGTTGTGACTTTGCCTATGTCATTTTCCATTACATTTTTTGAGTATGATCCACACTTGTAAGTTTTATTGAGTGAAACTTGGTGGATTTTCCCAATTACTGTCGTCGGAAGTTTGATATGAAGCAGGTTTGTTGTTATATTTTCCATTGGTTGAATATGTTTGATGACTGTCCTTGTTGTGGCTGATAATTTTATATTATCTTGAAATATTCTGGTTGAAACATTTTTGAAATTATAACATTCATTCCTCTGAACCGAATCAATTTGCTCGTTCCATAGCACCAATGGCATTGCTGAAGTGCTATCTGCAATAATGAATTCCTTCTTTTCTTTTGATGTACCATATACATCAACTGTTTCTTGTTCAGCAAATACACCAGTAACCTTAGCAGAAACAGAGACCTGAAGAAAAAGAAGAGATATCATAAATATATATTTTATAAGCACAAAATGCAATATTCAGTATTTGTTAACGAAGATTTATAATGAATGATTGTTGGTTGCTTAACATCCAGTGGCAAATATTTCATGCATATTCAGGACGAAAGATTTATGATGAAATATCTACATATTATGATGTAGCAGGTGTTGGAACAACTTGAATGACAGATGTCAAGTACATGGACCACAATTTCAACAAAATTTAGTCAAGCAGAATGAAGTGTAAACTCAATCTGTATATCATCATTGTTGACTCACTAAATATAAATCATCTAAATGGCTGATAACATTATTATCATGATTTTACAAAAATCTATACAAGTATAAATTCTCAAGCTACATTAGAATACGGAGAATTTATTGCATGTATAGTACTAACTTGTGTATACTTATATAATTTTACGTCTAACACTAGGTATATAAGACAAACGATTAATTTTATAGCAGGATATTTTTTATCGAGAGACTATCACTTTCTAGTTTGTTGCAGGGGGTCTCAATGGGAAGTTCTGATCCCGGATCCTGCTTACTGTTTTGTCAGATTCCCGTATTCCGCTACCATTATGTACGTAAGCAATTCTCATTTTTTTTGTAATTTCTAATGTCCCGCTAGACTTCATTTCCTGTTTTCACAGCACAATAATACAACTTTCACGTGTCACGCTTACAAAAAATCGCCAATCCAGCGTCACGCTTAGACCCCAATGAGACCCACTTTGCAGACAGGGCAACATTCAAGTTCCATTCATATCTAGAATACAATATGATATATGTATTTTTATGTTTCAAGAGATGACTTGTTGCATTAGGTCAGACCCCGGTTTTCAATTTATCCCATTATTGGGTTTGATTGGTTGTTCCGGCTTGTGATGTTGTTCATAATAGAGTTATTCAGATTACATTCGTGCCAACCATATAATAGTTTTTGTTTGTATTAGGTTTTCGCTATTTAAGCGAAGAGGTTTGTTTTACTATGCACTTATAGTTGAATTTTTATAAGGATTATGTTTTTTTTATTGAAATTGGGAATGCACTTCATTCACCAAAGTCGCACAATTTCATTCAATCAATGACAGCGTCACTCTAAAATGTTTATAGTTTTAAAATTATGGGAGCAACCAGGGGTGGATACAGCAAATATTAAAAGGGGGGTCCTTAATCCCGAGTTATGAAGGGGTTAAATGTAGCCTTAAATGTATCAATCATCAAAATAAAGTTGAAACCCTCTCTGGATCGACCACTGGCAACCATCAAACTTCAATAAGGGTGAGGGTAATGGTTTTTATTCATAGTATAACTTTAAAATATTTAGGTAGTTCAACGTTATCAATCATACTATATATTTTTTTTCTTCAAAATCAATCACTACCTCTACAAGGTGTGGGGAAGATCTGCACTTGGAATATTTTTTTTCATCAAATTGGGGATCATAATGTTTTTAGGAAAAAACCATAACCCACCCTTGAAGTCAAATGGTCCTGTTTTAATATGCAGTACATACCGTTTGATGTGATATCTTTAACTCATCCAGATTTGAAACATTGTCGTCGAAATCTAATTTTCGTCTTTTGAATGGAAGCTTGTCCACAATGTTCAGGTTCGAAAATCTAGAGACTTTAATGTCTATTTTCCCAGTTTCAGTTACAGATGGAACCATGGCTATGTTGGTAAGTTTCAGTGGAGATTTCATTTTCTCTGCATTTGTGAAAGCACTCAGCTTGTCCGGCGAGAAACACACAAGTCTATGGAATTCATCTCTGTTCTGCAGGGTTGCGTTGAAATATCTTGTGTTATTTTTACTTGTCTTTATCGGCGAAATGTCATGCAAATAACCAACAATTTCCTCTGATGAAGATGTAGATGGATTAGGACGCTTAGCCATTTTCAGTTGTAAATGAGCGTTTCTCTGAAAACCCCGCGAACTTCCGCATACCATCGGGTTTTTACCTTTACTTTTACAAGGTATAAAGAAGGAAAAAGCCCGATGATATCAAAAGTTTTCGCGGTTTTTTGCCGACAGGGGGGTATTACGTTGAAAAAAACAAGAGGTTTTATCTTAATACCACACACAAAAAATGACAACAAAGTCCAATAAATACACTGAAATTGGAGTGAAAATAGAAAATACACTTTAAAACCTAAATAGTATATGCTTCAAAATTTAATGAATTTCTCATTAAAAAAAGAGTAATGTAAAAACCATGAAAATTGGAGTATAACAATTATTGAAACAATCTGTATAATTCAAATTATTTTCAGCAGTTTGTTTACAATTTGGCTTATCATAATATTACAGTATCATTAATGTTGACAAATTTCTATTCTTAAAAGCAAATGTTTACACGAAATGTTCAATAATTACTGTTTTATGAATGATTATTACACATCAATCAAATGTAAGCAAACAGATAGTTGAGTAGAACAACAGTTCAATGCAAAAAAAAAAAAAAAAACAACATTCAACTATTTCCATGAATTAATGATTTACACATTTTGATAAACTTGTTCTAAGTATAACAACAGCTGATATCCTAAGAAACCAAAAAAGCCAGATTTATGCATTTTTTAAAGAGAATTATCAATGTAAATGAATATTAGATAAAACAAATATACAGATAAATTTGGTATTATAAAAGTAAATTGTACATTAACATGATAAATGTATAGTGAATAAACTTATATATATATATATATATATATATATTAATTGTCGAAATCGGATATGGTGTACAAATTTTTGCACCCCATGTTTGCGGTATACCATCTTCTCCGCAAGTTTATTATTTTCTGTTTGGTATTAAATTAATAATTAAGATCCATGTTACATCTCGTGATCAATTTATTTGGCAATCGTCAATGGCAGTCAGCAGGGTTTAAGAACATCAGTTGTTCGACCTGTTGGTCAAATGCGATTTGTTAAAATATACTTTTCACTTTTTTGGTCTTTTGGAAAATGTTGTTTGTGCTGTATTTAGTACCCCTCTACCAAGAAATTTGTTTTACATGCACACGTATAAAAATTGCGGTTTTTATTCAATGCAATCATAGGTTTGAACGTTGTTTTCAATTTAGACTTGTATATATATATATATATATAGTGAACAAAAGAATTGAAGAAAGTATCAAATAATCTATAAAAAAAATTACAATGGATATATGCACGTAATTATAGTGTTTATTATACAATTGATAGAAGTGACATTAAGGATTTTAACATTCATAAACAACATGTTGATGATTTAGTCATAGTTCATCAAACAGAATGTTAAAATTATTTATTTTGTAGGAAGAGAAATGTGACATTAAACGTGTCCATCAAAACTCCTTTATTTTACATCTACATGTATATTATAGAAACGTTTTTTTTTATAGTGTTCAAAAATGAAACTTTTAAGCATATATAACATATATAAGTGTAAAAATTTGCACTATGGTACTAGTAGTTGTGCATACTTTAAGACTTATATAATTGTTTTCTTATCTGCACAGTACCGTATATTCTAGACGATCCAGTACATATTAAATAATAAATTTGCTGGTAGGAACTTTTTATAGACTTAGATATATATAAGTCTAGAAAAAGGTCCAAACAGAAAAAAAAATATATAAAAACAATGATTGTAGTAAATATCAGGAGTGTTCACATACAAAGTGTATGATACTCTCAACTGATACATTGAACATTCAGGTAGTAGAGATGCTAAAATTTAATGTCTCCAATCATTACCGACTTGAAATTAATAGATTGCTACTCCTCTTAGATAGCAAAACGGTTGAACAATCAGCAAGAGTTCTGCTTATTTAAGTCAAAGTAACATACTTTCAAATTTCTTTACCTCATCTACCCTTAATCCAGTGTAGCTATAAAGAAAAAAGCTTTGTAAAGAAGCTCTCTCCTAGTATATACAGGTAATACTAGATAACAGGAGTCTTGAATGCCACTATTTTAAAGAACTCATTTCTATTCCTACTTGTGAAAAGACAAATCTGTTATAGTGGAAACCTATTTTTTCTTTAAAACCACTCCGTGCACATTTGAGGTTGCATTTTAAGCAACCTTAAATGTGCCAAACCTTTTCAGCAGGTTTAATTTTCAACGTTTCAAAGAAAGCTGGTTTTAGTTCATACAATAATCAGTACACTGAATCATTGTGTTTCAATGGCCACATATATTACTTTATGATCTGACCAAAAGCAATGAAGAACATCTGATTTAAAGTTTATCTTACTATCAAAATTTAGGAAAATTAAGTCCAACAATGTGCCATGGGATGTAGTAGCTTTAGACACAATTTGTAAACAACAAAATGTATCTCTCATGAACTTTAAAAAAGAAGTGTTTCCAGTGTTTAAATCAATATTAAAGTCTCCCATTATGATAATTTTTGGATGTCTTAAATACACATCAGGAAGAAGGTCTGCAAGGAAAGTATCTTTCAGTTGTTGCAATTTGCAGTTTGGTGCTTTGTAAACAAAGACAACCTGAAAAAGACCTTTGCTGGAGGATATTATGTCTGCTATTATAAACTCTAAAGTTGGAGTTGAGTAAGTCAATGTATTGTGAAGAACACAATCAGTTCGATAATATAATACCAATCCATGCGGTGGTCTTGTATTTAAGTTTTTTTGCTTTTGGTCTAAGCGAACTGGTGGTTCAAAACCAGGTACATAAAAATCCTCATTTACATCTGTTGAAATAAGTCTCGATTCAGCAATACCAATAACATCAGCATCCAAGATGTTAGGGTCTGATTTTAGATCATTAAAATGAGCATGCAATGACCTTGAGTTATTGAAGACTACTTTAAAATAGTTACTTGATAAGTTATACAATTGCTTAAAGCACAACTGTAGAGTTGCATTTGTCCTTAGCCTGTGTAATTCTTGTCTAACACATTCTGCTACAGCTATTGCTTCTTGATTGAGATATAATATCTGTAATCCAGATAAAGATGTTACTCTGCTTAGTGCTACATAGTGAATATGTGGTATTTTCCCTTTGCGCTTTGATTTCAGACTAACAACAACTTCATGTTATGTATCTCCTTGCGATTTATGGATTGTTTTTCCAGCTGCTGGACGAAGAGGAAACTGAATTCTTTCGAAAGTCTTATATTTAAAAGAAAATGACCTTTTAATGTCGAACATTGGAGTCCATGTTTTTTCAACATCTTTTCCATACAAGTGTGAATATTTTCTTCTATTGTTAGCACCAATTCTGGCATCCTCAAACTTAACCCATATGATACTTGGTCTTAAAGATGTAGTTTTGCACTCAATCAATTTAAGTTCACAAGTTGAACCATTTGTGAGACCATCAATGACTTCAATATTAGCTGTAAGATCATATTTCATCCCAATTGCTAATACTACTTCTTTTGCAAGATTGGCTGTATCAGACTGTTTTTCTGGTAAAGAACTAAGTAATTTTGTTTTTACAGATGCTGGTAAATCCCCACAAACTGTGTCAACTGCTTTAACTTAACCTTTTGTGAGCATAATTTAGATATGTATTGCAAATTAAAATTATCCACTAAAGCATTTTCAACAAACAAATGAGTAGCATTAGTTCTGTATGTTGGATCACTAATTGAAAAAGTTCTGGTGCTTAAAACTGCAAAGTCATTTTCAGTTAGCTGATTTTGTCTCAACCTATTTAGTAACTGAGCAAATTCTAAATCATCTTTTTGTCTCATTATTTCAGTGAGTTCATGAAAAGAAAATAATATTTTCCAGTAATTAGGTGCTAATGCTGTTAAACCTTTGCTAAGATCATTGAAAATCCAACCGTCAAATACAGGTTGGAGTTGGAAAAAGTCACCAATAGCTATGATACTCACGCCACCAAATGAACAGTTGCTACCCTTGATTTTTTTCAGCCTTGTCTCAAGCAAAGAGAACATTTTGTTACCAACCATGAAAATTTCATCAATCAAAATCAGAGACAAATTTCTGTATTTAGTTCGGAGTGTATTGAGGACATCACATGACAGTGACTGGTCAAGACCTTTATTTGGTTGGATCTGGAACGCATTATGAATGGTCAGACCATTTATATTGTAAGCTGCCTTTCCAGTAGGAGCACAAAGAAGAATTCTAATATCGTCAGGGTCCTCGCCTTCAGTAGAACATAAGTGTCTGTGTAAAGCTTGAAAAATTGCTTTGACAACAACAGATTTTCCACATCCTGCTCCACCTGTCAAAAATGTATAAAATGGTTCATGTTTTGTTTTAAACCAAGTAACAACATGTTGGAAAAATTCCCACTGTTTCTTATTCAAGGATCTAATCAATGCAAAATAATCACTCTCACTTATTCTGTTGGCATGATTTGTGAATTCTACTGTTCTTGCTTCTATTCCAACTTCACGAGACATATCATACAGTCTATGTTCTGTTGGTCTATCTGGATTGAAATGAACATACTGTTCAGATTCTGTTGGGCCTATTTCTGCATCTTCCATTTCTACTTGTTGAGTGGCAGGTGCTATTTGATCATTCTCATTACAATCATGTTCTGCCTCTTCTATAGCTTTCTCTAGATCTATTACATTTGCTTCATATTGCTTAGCTTTCTTTTCTAATAGTCTTGAAACACTCAGGTACATTTTTTCATATGTTTCATGTCCACATTGCAAATCTGAAAGTTCATTTCTCCATGGGTAAAATAACATTAAGCGTTCTCTATAGAAGTCAGTCTTGTAATTGTATTTAACATATCTTATAACCTTGGGTGTTTTTCTTTGGTATATTCTAATACCATTCTTCAGGGTTATGTTGATTTTGTTATTGTTTTCTTCTATAACATCTGCATTTTCCTCTTCATTTTCACTTTCAGATTCATTTTCCTGCTGTTCTGTTTCATGATCTGAGGTCTCTGAAGTTTTAGGATACTGCAATTCAAGCTGAGATACATAGTCTGCTAGACACCAGTTCTCCAGTTGTTTTGGTCTTTGCGAGTATCTTTTAATATCATTGTCTGATTCTATTTCAGTTGAGTCTGGGCCTAGTTTTTCTAAGGCTGATGATTGCTTTAGGAGGAAAGTTCTTTTGTCTCGTGGAGATGTATTAATGAATACAACTTGTCTTGTAGCTTTTGTTAGAGGCATCTGTAGTGTTAAGTATGTTGCTTCTTGTGCACTTGTTTCAACAGAATTTGAAAAGTAATTACCAATGTGCCTTACTTGATGCTTCAAGTCTAAATTTCCCTGTCGTGCTTCTTTTGCTGCTTGGTCTAATAATGCACTCATACCTTTTTGTGACTTGCTTATGTATGAAACAATATACACTGCACATGCAAATGCATCTATAACAAACTGTAAATCATGATTAGCTTGCCAAGCTACCAACACAGTTTTTATGTTAGCATTAACACGGACTTCAGATGGTTTACGTTTGAGAAAAACTTTCGGACCACTCAAGTTGCTTCTAATGGCCTTTATGTAATTTTCATTATTCATTTGCAACACATCATGCAAAAACGTGTCATATGTCATTAGGTCTATATCTTCAGAATTGTGAAGTGAATTAATTTCATTTTGTACTTCTTTAAATATAGCCTTGAACTTTTCTATGTCTTCATTTTCTTTCAAAGGCTCTAAAATTACTGTTTCTTTCATAGGTGGAAGGGGGAAACCAAAACGACAGATTGGGTGACCTTTTTTTCTGCATGTTTTTGAATGTTTATGAACTTGCAAATTGACTAAACTAGTGTTATTTTCTAAAAGTGAACAGGAGACATATTTATCAATAAATTCTACTACATCTTCATTTGAATCGCTTCCATATACTGGTGCATTTTCAATCCAAATCAAGATATGAATATGTGGTGAACCTCTCTGTTGAAATTCAACCCTATAAAAATAATCTGTCAATTTCCCAATAGGATTATGATCACTTTTCAAAACCAAGTTGATAAACTGTTGGACACGATAATCAAAATATCTAGAGCATGTCACAGGGTCTTTCTGAACAAGTTTTGATTTCTGATTCCAATTCATTTCTTTCAATTCACTGTCAGTATACTCTTTGCCATCATTTAACTTGCCTAGAATTCGTAACAAATCTTTCCAGTTAGTGTCTGCTGATGAAAGCGAGCCAAACCATGTTGGAAGACCCAATTGCCTGATCATTGCAAACAAATCTTTCTTCCTTTTTTCAAGGTATACTGGAGAATTTCTTAAACTTCTAAAGATATAATAACCTTCATCCAATCTTACAATATCATTTACAGTATTGGGATTCAGTACATCTTTTGCTGTCCATGTTTTTCCATCTGTTTTACACCTTCTGAGAGCAAGATTTACCTTATCACTTATATTTTTTAACTGAATTTTCTTCAACTTGAAAAATATGTTTGGTACAGACTGTGCTACTCTCCTATCCATGGACCTTAGTTCCCATTTAACAATATCAGTATAGTGAACAGAAACAGACCTTTCTTTGTTATCTGGCCTTCTTTGGCCACAAAATATAGTTGGAAAAGATAAGTACTCTGCATCAGGATCACTGTAGAGACTTATTGGTCGCTGGCCTTCACCTGGAGCAAAAATTAAACTTGTATCACATGGTGGATTGTCATCTGGAATGTAATCTTACAGTGTATCTGTATTTCCAACTTGTGTTTCATTCTCATCTACTTCACTGAAATGATCTGAGTCCTCGTCTGTATCATTTTGATCGTCAATATCCTCTTGTTCTGTATTATTGTTTTGATTTTGTGTTTCTTCATCATTCAATTTTGCTATTTCTGTAATCCAACCATCATTTATTTCTATTCCAGAAGACTTGTATAAGTCACTTGTTCTCATCAAATAATGTAATGCACAAATAACAGCAAATGGTCTAACATTTTCACTAAAATCACACTTTTTAAATAATAGTCTCTTTTTCAGTTTAACTGATATTGTACCAGATTTCTCTATCGTATGTGGAAGTGAATTGATTGTAGGTTGAACTTCAAACAGGAACATTTACAACATTGCCTTTAACTGACAACTGTCCACCTCTAGGCAACTGTCGAATCTGCATGAAAGGAATTCTTAATGACCATAGTCTCTCTTCTAAAGGATACAAATTTAATTCTTTTGGTTTTTGAGGAAATCCCATTTTATTGGCAATTGAAAATCTAGGAATTTTTTTATTTTTAATTGCATTAAGACAAGTGTGGCAAATCCATTCTATGTGCTGTACAGATTTAAAATTAGTAAAGCAATGAGACATGTTAGCAGGAGTATTCATTTTCAAAGTTTTTGCATTAACTACAGAATCACAAAACCAAGTTTGATGACATGAAGTACATATATATGTGGGACCTTCATTAATTTTTTTTTTCAAAATTTCTTATGCAAGCATCAAGGGTTATACCTTGAATTCTTTTTTTTTTAATTCTTTTTCATGATCTGTAAAATAAGTGCTTTTTCTTTTAGTACTTTTGACTGACTGATTATAACTTCTATCTTTGTCGAGGTTTTTCTGTCTAGAAATCTGTTTTGCCAAACGCTCAGTCTCTAAATTTTCTGGATTTGACCTATGTTCTTGTTTTCTTTGGAAGTCTCGTTCTGACTCATGTTTTCGATACATTTCATCTTGTCTTGCTATTTTTTTCTTTTCTGCTTCATTTCTTTTGACATTATTATTCTTTCTAGCCTCTCTTTTAGAAAGAAGTTCTCTTTGTCTTTCGATTTTTCTTAAATAAAAATTATCCCTTTGAGACTTTTTTCTTTCTGTTTCAGCTTTTCTATGTGTTTTATCCTTTCTAACTTCTCTTTTAGCAACTAGTTCTTTCTTTTTAAAATCTTTATTCTTTCTAGCCTCTCTTTTAGAAAGAAGTTCTCTTTGTCTCTCGATTTTTCTTAAATCAAAAGTATCCCTTTGAGACTTTTTTCTTTCTGTTTCAGCTTTTCTATATGTTTTATCCTTTCTAACTTCTCTTTTAGCAACAAGTCCTTTCTTTTTAAAATCTTTATTCTTTCTAGCCTCTCTTTTAGAAAGAAGTTCTCTTTGTCTCTCGATTTTTCTAAAATCAAAATTATCCCTTTGAGACTTTTTTCTTTCTGTTTCAGCTTTTCTATATGTTTTATCCTTTCTAACTTCTCTTTTAGCAACAAGTTCTTTCTCTTTAAAATCTTTATTCTTTCTAGCCTCTCTTTTAGAAAGAAGTTCTCTTTGTCTCTCGATTTTTCTTAAATCAAAAGTATCCCTTTGAGACTTTTTTCTTTCTGTTTCAGTTTTTCTATATGTTTTATCCTTTCTTTTTTCCCTTTTAGCGACAAGTTCTTTTTTTTTTAAATCTTTTACTTGTCTTGAATATCTTTGAGCTATTAATTCTTTTTCCCTGAATTTTTTATTTTTTCTTCTATTTTGCATGTAGTTTTTCCATGTTTGTTTCCTGTTGTTGATTCAGAAATACATGCCGCCGCTCGCAAAATTTCAAACTGCATTATCTCCAAAAAAACAACAGATATCTCAAATCTGTTAAAAGTAAAATGATCTACAGTAAAAGAACAATATTGTAAAAAAAAATTTGGGACAATTCTGAAGTTAATCAAGGTCACAATGAATCGTCAAATATATGATGCAATACCAAACTTAAGAACCGGAAGTCGTAGAGACATAAGACTACCACCATTCAACTCAGGACCATATTGACCTTTCAAAAATTACAAGGTCAAGGTCATAGTAGACTTTGAAGGTCAAGGTAAAATTTCATCATGACCTGACATTGACCTCAAATTGAAGGTCTTGAATTACTGATCATCTTTGCAGTTTATAGTAGGTTGATATCTGTTACCTTTTAAAAGATATACATATGTTACTATAGTTTTAAGAATTATGTTAATGTAACTTTTGAACAGACGGTCGGACATTATTGAGCTTAAAGAATAAAATGTAGAGCTTGTCGAGAGGAACATTTTATACACAGTATGTATGCAGCAAACTCTTATCGTTTTCTTAATATGCAAGGTTGAAATTGCAGCGTAATTGTTTTTTGCACTCAGTGACCTTTGACCTTGGGTGCAAATTGAAAGTCACATGAACTTAAGATTATTGGTGTAGGTCCCAAGTCTCTACGACTTACGGTTCTCGAAATACAATTTTTCAAAAATTGTGTATATTTTTTCAAGAGAAATAACTCCTTATAAGGGTCAATAACAAAATTATTTTGTATGTTCATTAACATTGCCATCTGTTCTTGTACATGTTGCTGTTTTCAAATCGATTCTATCCCTAAGACTTTCTGAGAAAAATGCAAAGGAAAGAAATTGCTTTAAGGGGATATAACTTGCATAGGGAATGATGAAATCCTATGCAGCCTCATATGGTAGTACATCATGATGAGATCTACCTATTGTCCAAATAAGGTCATGATATTCTAAAAAAAACAACGAGTTGGGGCCATGTCGAAAAAATCCAATAAAAGGGAGATAACTTCTACAGGGGATGATGAAATCCTTAACAGGGTCATCTGGTAATACTTCATGATGAGGTCTGTCGATGGTCCATATTTGGTCTTGATAACTTCAACAAAAACGGGGGGAGGGCATTCCCAAAAAAATGTTGGAAGAAAAAAAAGAAAAAAAAAAAAAGAAAAAGAAAAAGAAAAAGAAAAAAAAACATTAGAAAAACAATAAGGTCTTTCCTAACGGAGTGGAAAGACCTTAATTAGAAAAACAATGAGGACTTTCCTAACGGAGTGGAAAGACCTTAAAAAAAAACATTAGAAAAACAATAAGGTCTTTCCTAACGGAGTGGAAAGACCTTAATAATAACTAGAATTGCCATTGCAAGCAATAGCGGATGGCACCCTTCCCCCATTGCCACTAAGCGGCAGCCATTTCAAAAAATTTAGTGAATGCACATATATGCATGTACATCTTTCTGTAAATTTTCAGTACATTCAGAGCATTTAAAAAAAAATCACATTTTTGCAGTTTCCATGGCAACGGCAGCCATTTTGAAAATTTCAAAGTCAAAAGTGTCATCTTTACTTGTAAGTTAACAATCCTATCAAGTTCATTAATTTGAAAGCATTTTGAAAATTTTTGACATTTTTGTAGTTTCCATGGCAACAGTGGCCATTTTGAAAATTCCAAAGTCAAAAGTCTCATCCAGACTTGCCAGTCAACAATCATATTAAGTTTCATCAATTTTGGTGCATTTTGAAATTTTTGACATTTTTGACATTTTAGATGGTTCCTATATATGTTTACAGAGACCATTCCAAAAATTTATTGGCAGATACCACATTGGTACATAGGAGGGAACATACCATCAAAATTTCAATTGATTTGACCTACCATATTAAGAAAGTAAATGCCACTTTAAGGTTTTTTGAGCATTTTGACCTGTTTTGCATTGTTTCCATGGTAACGGCAGACATTTTCGATATTCCAACGCCAAATTCTTTATCTACCAATGTTGCTCATCGTTACTGTGAAGTTTTATTAAATTTGGAGCATTTCGATATTTTTGAAATTTTTGGTGTAGTATCCATGGCAACATAGCAGTTCCAATGATTGCCAAAATCATCCCAAACCAGTATATAGTGGGCACATACATTGTATTAAAATCTAAAGATTTTAAGCTTAAGCATTCTCAAATAATTTAGCGAACTCCAAAACTATATTTTTTCACCATTTTTCAGTTTCCATGGTGATGGCAGCCATCTTTTAGTTCCAAAGTTGCACTGCAACTGGAAAGTCAGGGTTCCTTGTTATAGTGAACCATCATTCGGATTGGTAGCTTTGGCTCTTAGAAAGCGGGCGGACAAAATTAGGTGGAAGAAAAATAATAATAATAATAATAATAGGGAAAAAGAAACAGAGGAAAAGCAATATGTCACCCTACATTGTCGATCGGGTGACATAATAACAAGTAATCCTGTGTTAGGATGCTAACACAAAAGTCGCCAAAACGGCCCCCAACCATTGTTCTACTGTTTCCATGGTAACGGCAGCCATTTTGAAATTTCAAAGTCGGATATCACATCTACACATGACAGGTCACATTACTTACAAGTTTCATAAAAATTGGACCAATTTTCAAATTTAGGCATTCGTGTTTCCATGGTTACGGTGGCCATTTAAGAAATTCCAAAGTCAAATGCCACATCTACATAAGACAGTCAACATTTGTGTAAAGTTTCATTAAGTTTAAAGCATTTTGAATTTTTTGACATTTTTGCAGTTTCCATGGTAACCGCAGCCATTTTGAAAATTCCAAAGTAGGATGGCACATCTACACATGACAGGTCATTTTACTGTCAAGTTTCATAAAGATTGGACCAAATCTAGATTTTTCGCATTTTTGTTGTTTCCATGGCAACGGCAGCCATTTTGGAAATTCCAAAGTCAAATTCCAAATCTACATACACTCGTTAACATCTCTGTAAAATTTCATTAAATTTGAAGCATTTTAAAAAAATTTCACATTTTTGCAGTTTCCATGGTAACGGCGGCCATTTTAAAAATTCCAAAGTCGAATTACAGCTATATATGGTGCTACCTGTAATAATCTATCATTATATAGCATAATAAAATGCTTCGATGGGGGCAGCTTGATACGACCGCAGAGGTCGAACCCTGAACAGTTGGGGCAAGTATGGACACAACATTCAAGCTTGATACAGCTCTGAATTTGGATTGTTATTAAATATTTGACACAGCATATGTTTCTGACACAGAAAGAATGTGGTCTAAGAACTTGAATTTTTTTAATTTACCTATTATGGTCCAATGTCCAAAATCAAAATACATGGTTAGATTCAGCATATCAAAGAACCCCATATATTCAATTTTTGTTAAAATCAAACAAAGTTTAATTTTGGACCCTTTTGACCTCAATATGAACCAATTTGATAGCGGGCCCACAAATAAAAAATCTAAATACATGGTTAGATTCAGCATATCAAAGAACCCCATATATTCAATTTTTGTTGAAATAAAAAAAAGTTTAATTTTGGACCCCAACTTGGACCAACTTGAAAACTGGGCCCATAATCAAAAATCTAAACACATGTTTAGATTCAGCATATCAAAGAGCCCCAAGAATTCAATTTTTGTTAAAATCAAACTAAGTTTAATTTTGGACTCTTTGGACCTTAATGTAGACCAATTTAAAAAACCAGGACCCAAATTAAAAATCTAAATACACTGTTAGATTTGGCATATCAAAGAACCCCAATAATTCAATTTTTGATGAAATCAAACAAAGTTAAATTATGGACCCTTTTGACCTCAATATGAACCAATTTGATAGCGGGGCCCACAAAGAAAAAATCTAAATACATGGTTAGATTCAGCATATCAAAGAACCCCATATATTCAATTTTTGTTGAAATCAAACAGTTTAATTTTGGACCCCAATTTGGACCAACTTGAAAACTGGGCCAAAAATCTAAAATCTAAATACATGTTTAGATTCAGCATATCAAAGAACCACATATATTCAATTTTTTGTTGAAATCAAACAAAGTTTAATTTTGGACCCCAATTTGGACCAACTTGAAAACTGGGCCAAAAATCTAAAATCTAAATACATGTTTAGATTCAGCATATCAAAGAACCCAATATATTCAAGTTTTGTTGAAATCAAACAAAGTTTAATTTTGGACCCCAACTTGAAAACTGGGCCCATAATCAAAAATCTAAACACATGTTTAGATTCAGCATATCAAAGAACCCCAAGAATTAAATTTTTGTTAAAATCAAACTAAGTTTAATTTTGGACCCTTTGGACCTTAATGTAGACCAATTTAAAAAACAGGACCCAAAATTTAAAATCTAAATACACGGTTAGATTTGGCATATCAAAGAACCCCAATAATTCAATTTTTGATGAAATCAAACAAAGTTTAATTTTGGACCCTTTTGACCTCAATATGAACCAATTTGATAGTGGGGTCCACAAATAAAAAATCTAAATACATGGTTAGATTCAGCATATCAAAGAACCCCATATATTCAATTTTTGTTGAAATCAAACAAAGTTTAATTTTGGACCCCAATTTGGACCAACTTGAAAACTGGGCCAAAAATCAAAAATCTAAATACATGTTTAGATTCAGCATATCAAAGAACCTCATATATTCAATTTTTGTTAAAATCAAACAAAGTTTAATTTTGGACCCTTTGGACCTAAATGTAGACCAATTTGAAAACTGGACCCAAAATTAAAAATCTAAATACACTGTTAAATTCGGCATAACAAATAAATAAATGTGATCAAAGATTTTACAAATCTAATGCGCCATACTGTGCAATTAAAGATTACTTCTTGAAATTTTTCAATATTTGAAATTTGAAAAAAAAAAAAAATATTTGAAGAATAATTCTTTTTAATTTCTGAAATCTGAAATGAGAAAAAATTGACCCCCCACAATTTCTTTTTACCCCCCCCCCCCCCCCTTTTTTCCCCCAAAAAATTCTTTCCCTCAAGATATGGTCATAATCTCAATTCAAATTTCCAATGAAGTTTGCAATCATAATTACCCATTTAAATTTACCATAGTGCTAACTTAATCTATTTTATAATAGAATTAAAAATATAGTGTCAAATCTTTCATATGGATTTTTTTGTAAAAAAAAAAGATGCAACATTTGCAGATATTTTTACTGGTCTTCCTTTATAAATATGCATTTCTTTAAACATAATTTAAAAGCAGTGCAAGGGAAGTAACTAAAACGTTGTATTTGGATTACCTCCCTTACACTGTTTTAAATTATTTTTATTGTTCATTAACCATTACTTTATACATAAATTAAAAGCAGTGTAAGGGAGATAATTTCAATGATGTATTTGATTTATCTCCCTTACACTGCTTTAAATTATGTTTTGTACTAAAGTATTTGTCCATTAACCAGGACAACCTTGTTTTTCCCCATTTTTTGCCCCTAATTCCTAAACGGTTTGAGCCATAACCCCCCAAAGCAAATCCTAACCATCCCTTTGTGGTATGGAAACTTGTAGTATAATTTCAGAGAGATCCATACACCGTTCCACAGTTATTGTCTGGAAACTAGAAAATGCTTATTTTTGGCCCCTTTTTGGCCCCTAATTCCTTAACTGTTGGTACCATAACCCCCAAAATCAATCCCAACTTTCCTTTTGTGGTATTTAACCTTATGGTAAAATTTCAAAAAGATCCATTCACTTAAACTAAAGTTAGAGTGCGAAAACCAATGTGTCTTCGGACGACGACGACGACGATGACGACGACGCCAACGTCATACCAATATACGACCACAAAATTTTTTTGCGGTCGTATAAAAAGTACATAGGAATAATTCAACACTATCACATGACTAATCACATGACTATTGTTCTAGAATGTTCCATGAAAATTGACCCCCTAAAATAATGCCAAGATGACCCCGGGCTGAAATAAAAAATGTGGAATGGACACCTGGACATAGGTCTCTTGTATTACACAAAACTTAAAGGTTCTACCAGTAGCGAATCAATAGTCGAAAAATGACCCCACCCATGTTCCGGCCCCCAAATAGTGCCAAGTTGACCCCCATTTGAAATAAAAAATAGTGAATGCACCCCTAGGGATACTACCCCATCATCATACCAAATATAAAGTTTCCATCATTTAAGGCTTGGAAGAAAATGGTCAGACAAATTAGGGTTAAGAAGAATAATAATAATAATAATAATAATAAGAAACGGGACAAAAACATAAAGTCCCCAAAACTTCGTTTTGGCGACTTAACTAGATTTGCCATTGCAAGCAATGGCGGATGTCAACCTTTCCCCATTGCTACTAGATTGCAGCCAGTTTTAAAATTTTAAACAGTTAATGCACATATACTGATGGCTATACATCTTTCTGTAATTTTTTAGAACATTTAGCGGATTTACAAATTTTACGCATAATTTTTCCTTTTTTGCCTTGTTTCCATGGTAATGGCAGCCATTTTGGAAATTGCAATGCCAATTGCCGCTTCTTCACATGACAATCAACATTATTATGAATTTCATAAAGTTTGAAGCATTCTGAAATTTTTGCTCCTGTATCCATGGTAACATAGTAGTTCCAATGATTGTCAAAATCATTCAAAACCTGTATATAATGGACAACTATATTGTATTAAAATTTGATGATTTTAAGTTAAAGCATACCAAAATTATTCACCAAACCCTGAAGTTTTTGGAGCATTTTGACCTTTTTGCATTGTTTCCATGGTAACAGCAGCCATTTTGGAAATTCTAACTCCAAATGCAACATCTTCCAATGTTGCTCATCATACTGTGAAGTTTCATTAAGTTTGGAGCAATTTGATATTTTTGAAATTTTTGGTGTAGTATCCATGGCAACATAGTAGTTCCAATGATTGCCAAAATCATCCAACACCAGTATATAGTGGGCACCTACATTGTATTAAAATATAATGATTCTAAGTTTAAGCATATCCAAATGGGTCACCAAAACCAAAAACTGGATTTTTTCACATTTGTTCCGTTTCCATGGTAACGGCAGCCATTTTTTATGTTCTTAAGACCTACTGCAACTCGAAATTTTTTGTTCCTCATTATAGTAGACAATCATTAAGATTGGTTCCATTGGCTCCAAAAAAACTGCCGGACAAAAATCATTGGAAGAATAATAATAATAACAAAGAAACAGAGGAAAAGCAATATGTCACCCGACATTGTCGATCGGGTGACATAATAATAATAATAATAATAAGAAACGGGACAAAAACATAAAGTCCCCAAAACTCTGTTTTGGCGACTTCATAATAACAAGTAATCCTGTGTTAGGATGCTAACACAAAAGTCGCCAAAACGGCCCCCAACCATTGTTCTAATGTTTCCATGGTAAAGGCAGCCATTTTGAAATTCCAAAGTCGGATGGTACATCTACACATGACAGGTCACATTACTGTCAAGTTTCATAAAGATTAGACCAAATCTAGATTTTTCGCATTTTTGTTGTTTCCATGGCAACGGCAGCCATTTTGGAAATTCCAAAGTCAAATTCCAAATCTACATACACTCATTAACATCTCTGTTAAATTTCATTAAATTTGAAGCATTTAAAAATTTTTTCACATTTTTGCAGTTTCCATGGTAACAGCGGCCATTTTAAAAATTCCAAAGTCGAATTACAGCTACATATGGTGCTACCTGCAATAATCTATCATTATATAACATAAAAAGTACAAAGGAATAATTCAACACTATCACATGACTAATCACATGACTATTGTTCTAGAATGTTCCATGAAAATTGACCCCCTAAAATAATGCCAAGATGACCCCGGGCTGAAATAAACTAGAGGCTCTCAAGAGCCTGTGTCGCTCACCTGTATTTACTGATGCTTTGGAAATCATGTAAAATAAGGTTAAAATCATAATTAATAGTATTAGATATTAGATATTATAATGATATCTAAGATAATAACAAAAAACTGCCAAATTTTTGTAAAATTACTAACTCAGGGTCAGCAACCCAACAACGGGTCGTCGGATTTGTCTGAAAATTTCAGGGCAGATTAATCTAAATCTGATGAACATTTTTGCCACCTGTCAGATTTGCTCTAAATGCTTTAGTTTCAGAGATATAAACCAAAAACTGCATTTTACCCCTAATGATTATGGCCAAGTATGGTTAAATTTGCATCAGTAGTTTCAGAGAAGAAGATTTTTGTAAAAGATTACAAAAATTTACAAAAAATTGTTAAAAATTGATTATTAAGGGCAATAACTCCTAAAGGGGTCGACTGACAATTTTGGTCATGACAACTTATTTGTAGATCTTACTTTGCTGAACATTATTGCTGTTTACAGTTTATCTCTATCTATAATAATATTCAAGATAATAACCAATAAAATGCTCCGCAGGGCGCAGCTTGATACGACCGCAGAGGTCGAACCCTGAACAGTTGGGGCAAGTATGGACACAACATTCAAGCTTGATACAGCTCTGAATTTGGATTGTGATTAAATATTTGACACAGCATAGGTTTCTGACACAAAATGAATGTGGTCTAAGAACTTAAAAATTTTAAATTGGACATTCACCTATTATGGTCAAATATCCAAAATCTAAATACATGGTTAGATTCAGCATATCAAAGAACCCCAAGAATTCAATTTTTGATGAAATCAAAACAAAGTTTAATTTTGGACCCTTTTGACCTCAATGCGGACAAAGTTGATAACAGGGCCCAAAAATCAAAAATCTAAATACATGGTTAGATTCAGCATATCAAAGAACCCCATATATTCAATTTTTGTTGAAATCAAACAAAGTTTAATTTTGGACCCGGATTTGGACCAACTTGAAAACTGGGCCCATAATCAAAAATCTAAATACATGTTTAGATTCAGCATATCAAAAAACCCTAAAAATTCAATTTTTGTTAAAATCAAACTAAGTTTAATTTTGGACCCTTTGGACCTTAATGTAGACCAATTTGAAAACGGAACCAAAAATTAAGAATCTAAATACACGGTTAGAATCGGCATATCAAAGAACCCCAATAATTCAATTTTTGATGAAATCAAACAAAGTGAAATTTTGGACCCTTTGGACCTCAATGTGGACCAATTTAAAAACAGGGCCCAAAATCCAAAAACTTAATACACGGTTAGATTCAGCATATTAAAGAACCCCAAGAATTCAAGAATAAAACCCCATTGAAATTGATAAAGAAATAAGCAATTTATACGAAGTATCTTCTTTTGCACAATACTGTGCAATTGAATATTTCTTGCTATTGCGCAATACTGTACAATTGACAATTTCTTGCTATTGCGCAATATTGTGCTATTGGATATTTCTTGCTATTATACTGTGCAATTAAAGATTTCTTGCTATTGCGCAATACTGTACAATTGACAATTTCTTGCTATTGCGCAATATTGTGCTATTGGATATTTCTTGCTATTATACTGTGCAATTAAAGATTTCTTGCTATTGCGCAATACTGTGCAATTGAAGATTTCTTGCTATTGTGCAATGCAATTGAAAATTTCTTGCTATTGCACAATACTTATTATATAATAATTTACACATCCTGTTTGGTGTGTATCTCCTACCATATCATTATTATTTGCTTTTAAATATAAATCAGAAATAACCAACTTAAAATGGAAAATTATAAAAGAAAAAAAAAATGAAAAAAAGAAAAAAAAAGAAAGAAAAAAAATCCCCCCCCCCCCCCAAATTTTTTTAACCCCCTTATGATTCATCAACCCCAAGCTCAATCCCAGCCTTCCCTTTGTGGTATGGTACCTTGCAGTACAATTTCAGAGAGATCCATACACTTGAACACAAGTTATTGTCTGGAAACTAGAAAAATGCTTATTTTTGGCCCCTTTTTGGCCCCCAATTCCTAAACGTTTCGGGCAATTACCCCCAAACTCAATTCCAGCTTTCCCTTTGTGATAAGGAACCTTGTAGTACAATTTCAGAAATATCCAAACACTTACACACAAGTTATTGTCATGAAACTAGAAAAATGCTTGTTTTTTGGCCCTTTTTTGGCCCCTAATTCCTAAAATTTTGAGGCAATTACCCCCAAAATCAATTACAGCCTTCCCTTTGTGATATGGAACCTTGTGGTACAATGTCAGAGAGATCCATACACTTACACACAAGTTATTGTCTGGAAGTTACACAAATGCTTATTTTTGGCCCCTAATTCCTTAACTGTTGGTACCATAACCCCCAAAATCAATCCCAACCTTCCTTTCGTGGTATTGAACCTTATGGTAAAATTTTATGGAGATCCATTCACTTAAACTAAAGTTAGAGTGTGAAAACCAATGTGTCTTCGGACGACGACGACGACGACGCCGTCATACCAATATATGACCAAAAATTTTTTAATTTTTGCGGCCGTATAAAAACTGAAAAATTTCCTTAAAATTACCAATTCAGGGGCAGCAACCCAACAACAGGTTGTCAGATTTGTCTGAAAATTTCAGGGCAGATAGATCTTGACCTGATAATCAGTTTTACCCTATGTCAGATTACCTCTAAATGCTTTGGTTTCAGAGATATAAGCCAAAATCTACATTTTACCCCTATGTTCTATTTTTAGCCATGGCGGCCATCTTGGTTGGTTGGCTGGGTCATCAGACACATTTTTTAAACAAGATACCATAATGATGATTGTGGCCAAGTTTGGTTAAATTTGGCCCAGTGGTTTCAGAGGAGAAGATTTTTGTAAAAAGGTAACGACGACGACGACGGACGACAGACGCCAAGTGATGAGAAAAGCTCACTTGACCCTTCGGGTCAGCTGAGCTAAAAATGTGGAATGGACACCTGGACATCGGTCTCTTGTATTACACAAAACTGAAAGGTTCTACCAGCAGGGAATCAATAGTCGAAAAATGACCCCACTCATGTTCCAGCCCCCAAATAGTGCCAAGTTGACCCCCATTCGAAATAAAAAATAGTGAATGCACCCCTAGGGATACTACCCCATCATCATACCAAATATAAAATTTCCATCATTTAAGGCTCTGAAGAAAATGGTTGGACAAATTAGGGTTAAGAATAATAATAATAATAATAATAATAATTAATAAAATGCTCCGCAGGGCGCAGCTTGATACGACCGCAGAGGTCGAACCCTGAACAGTTGGGGCAAGTATGGACACAACATTCAAGCTTGATACAGCTCTGAATTTGGATTGTGATTAAATATTTGACACAGCATAGGTTTCTGACACAGAATGAATGTGGTCTAAGAACTTAAAAATTTTAAATTGGACATTCACCTATTATGGTCCAATATCCAAAATCTAAATACATGGTTATTTCAGCATATCAAAGAACCCCAAGAATTCAATTTTTGATGAAATCAAACAAAGTTTAATTTTGGACCCTTTTGACCTCAATGTGGACAAAGTTGATAACGGGGCCCAAAAATCTAAATACATGGTTAGATTCAGCATATCAAATAACCCCATATATTCAATTTTTGTTGAAATCAAACAAAGTTTAATTTTGGACCCCGATTTGGACCAACTTGAAAACTGGGCCCATAATCAAAAATCTAAATACATGTTTAGATTCAGCATATCAAAGAACACTAAAAATTCAATTTTTGTTAAAATCAAACTAAGTTTAATTTTGGACCCTTTGGACCTCAATGTGGACCAATTTAAAAACGGGGCCCAAAATCCAAAAACTTAATACACGGTTAGATTCAGCATATTAAAGAACCCCAAGAATTCAAGAATAAAACCCCATTGAAATTGATCAAGAAATAAGCAATTTATAAGAAGTATCTTCTTTTGCACAATACTGTGCAATTGAATATTTCTTGCTATTGCGCAATACTGTACAATTGACAATTTCTTGCTATTGCGCAATATTGTGCTATTGGATATTTCTTGCTATTGTGCAATACTGTGCAATTGAAGATTTCTTGCTATTGCGCAATACTGTGCAATTGAAGATTTCTTGCTATTGTGCAATACTGTGCAATTGAAAATTTCTTGCTATTGCACAATACTTATTATATAAAAATTTACACATCCAGTTTGGTGTGTATCTCCTACCATATCATTATTATTTGCTTTTAAATATAAATCAGAAATAACCAACTTAAAATGGAAAATTTTAAAAGAAAAATTTTAAAAAGGAAAAAAAGAAAAAAAAAGAAAAAAAAAAAATCCCCCCCCCCCCCAAATTTTTTGAACCCCCTTATGATTCATCACCCCCAAACTCAATCCCAGCCTTCCCTTTGTGGTATGGTACCTTGCAGTACAATTTCAGAGAGATCCATACACTTGAACACAAGTTATTGTCTTGAAACTAGAAAATGCTTATTTTTGGCCCCTTTTTGGCCCCCAATTCCTAAACATTTCAGGCAATTACCCCCGAACTCAATTCCAGCTTTCCCTTTGTGATATGAAACCTTGTAATACAATTTCAGAAATATCCAAACACTTACACACAAGTTATTGTCATGAAACTAGAAAAATGCTTGTTTTTTGCCCCTTTTTTGGCCCCTAATTCCTAAAATTTTGAGGCAATTACCCCCAAAATCAATTACAGCCTTCCCTTTGTGATATGGAACCTTGTGGTACAATGTCAGAGAGATCCATACACTTACACACAAGTTATTGTCTGAAAGTTACAAAATGCTTATTTTTGGCCCCTTTTTGGCCCCTAATTCCTTAACTGTTGGTACCATAACCCCCAAAATCAATCCCAACCTTCCTTTCGTGGTATTAAACCTTATGGTAAAATTTCATGGAGATCCATTCACTTAAACTAAAGTTAGAGTGCGAAAACCAATGTGTCTTCGGACGACGCCGGACGACGCCAGACGACGCCAGACGACGACGACGAAGCCAACGGCATACCAATATACAACCAAAAATTTTTTAAATAGAACTATTAAAATTTAGTTTAAAATATCATATTCAGCGTTTAATGATAGTTTATTGTACACTGATTCCAAAAATACATGATTTCTATACATTTTTTTCAAAATAAGGGAGATAAATTGTTACTTCCGGTTTGAAAGATGTCACTTCTGGTTTTATTTGATAGTTTACTTGATACTGATTCCAAAAATATATGGTTTAATATACTTTTACATTAAATAAGTACAAAAATAGCTACTTCCAGTTTACACAAGGTCACTTCCGGTTGGCTTATTCATGGTCAAGTGGCTTGCAACGTAATGCAAAAAGTCCTATGGCTTTATCACGTATACTAACGAGGAAAAAGCAAAGGTCAAAATCTAGAACGTCAAATTTACCTATGACCTTTAGCTCAATTTCAAGGTCATAAACCGAGGGCTTCAAATCAAAAGACCATAGGTATTAATTATATATGGTTAATGAGTTATATCACTTTACACCTAATTTTTAACATAAGAGGGGAGAAAACTCCAATTTAATGTTAGCGTACCATTTCAACCAAAATTTATGTGTTACGACATGTCGCAACTTACAATTTAGTAAAATTATCTTGTCGAAATCTCATACGGTTTTTGAAAAGAAGTGAAAATAAGCCAAAATCAAAATTTAAACAAGAAATGATTGTAACAGGATGCTGTTACGAAGTCTCCCAAACGAAGCTCCCATAATTCGTAATTCCCAGGGTCGTCTGACATTGGGCAAAGTCCAGTGAAAATTGGTTTGGTAAAGTTATATGCATTAGTGATGCCTGGGGACTAACCCTGTATATCATTCAAATCATCTTGGCATGACAAACCAGAATATATATGGTTTAGGGGTGGGGATCTCGACCACTTACAAGATACTAGAACATTGGGGGTGGGGGGGGGAACCCCTGGGGACTGACCCTATATGTCATTCAAATGTTCGAGACATGAAGAACAGGAATATATATGGTTTAGGGGTGGGGATCTCGAACATTTACAAGATATAAGAACAGTGGGGGTGGGGGGGAACCCCTGGGGACTGACCCTATACGTCATTCAAATGTTCGAGACATGACGAACAGGAATATATATGGTTTAGGGGTGGGGATCTCGACCATTTACAAGATATTAGAATTTTCTCAAATGGCAGGGGGTGGGGAATGACCCCTAAAGACTAACCATGTATATCATTCAAACCATCTTTGCATGACAAACCAGAATATATATGGTTTAGGGGTGGGGATCTTGACAACTTACAAGATATTAGAACTTTCTTAAATGGCAGGGAGTAGGGGGTGACCCCTGGGGACTAACCCTGTATTTCATTTGATGTGCTTTATCATGACAAACCAGATTATATATGGTTTAGGGGTGGGGATCTCGACCATTTACAAGATATTAGAACTTTCTCAAATGGCAGGGGGTCGGGATGACCCCTGGGGACTAACCCTGTATATCATTCAAACCATCTTAGCATGACAAACCAGAATATATATGGTTTAGGGGTGGGGATCTCGACCATTTACAAGATATTAGAACTTTCTCAAATGGCAGGGGGTTGGGATGACCCCTGGGGACTAACCCTGTATATCATTCAAACCATCTTAGCATGACAAACCAGAATATATATGGTTAAGGGGTGGGGATCTCGACCATTTACAAGATATTAGAACTTTCTTAAATAGCAGGGGGTCGGCATGACCCATGGGGACTAACACTGTATATCATTCAAACCATCATAGCATGACAAACCAGAATATATATGGTTTAGGGGTGGGGATCTTGACCACTTACAAGATATTAGAACTTTCTTAAATGGCAGGGGGTAGGGGTGACCCCTGGGGACTTACCCTGTATTTCATTTGATGTGCTTTATCATGACAAACCAGAATATATATGGTTTAGGGGTGGGGATCTCGACCATTTACAAGATATTAGAACTTTCTCAAATGGCAGGGGGTCGGGATGACCCCTGGGGACTAACCCTGTATATCATTCAAACCATCTTAGCATGACAAACCAGAATATATATGGTTTAGGGGTGGGGATCTCGACCATTTACAAGATATTAGAACTTTCTCAAATGGCAGGGGGTCGGGATGACCCCTGGGGACTAACCCTGTATATCATTCAAACCATCTTAGCATGACAAACTAGAATATATATGGTTTAGGGGTGGGGATCTCAACCATTTAAAAGATATTAGAACTTTCTTAAATAGCAGGGGGTGGGGGTGACCCCTGGGGACTAACCCTGTATTTCATTTAATGTGCTTTATCATTTAGAACATTTTCAATTAAAAATATTGTGTCTATCACAAACGGTTTTCAATTTATAAGCATTTGAAAATTTAAAAAAATAAAATCCCTTAGGGTTCTATAGTAAAACCCTCCTTTCTTTTTGCCCCTCAAAGTACCCCTTTATAAACCCCAATGCACAAACAAAACCCTGATTGCACAACTAGACATGTTAGTCTAGCATATTGTGAAACCCTAAGTTAATCTGACAAGCGGTTTTGGAGAACGGGTGCGGACAAGTTCAAATTTAAAAGCGGCGGAAGAGGAAGAAGAAGAAGAAGAAGAAGAAGAAGAAGAAGAATAATAATAATAAGAACTGAGCAAAACCAATAAGTCTTCCCAAACTTCGTTTGGGGGACTTAAATATGACCTTGACCTCTGACCTTGACCTTATTTTTTTTTTTTTTTATCAAGGACCTCAAATCAAAAGATCCTAGGTCTCTATCACTTATGGTTTACAAGATAGAAATGCATATCACTAATAACAAACGCATAAGGGGAAATAACTCTCATATGGAGTGTTCATATCGCTTCGGTCAAAATAGGACAAATCATGCGAAGGATATAACGAGCAATTTTATAAAATAAATTTGTCGCTTTCTTTTATGGTTACAGAGGAGATGCAGTCACAAGGAAAACAGTGTTCGGGGAGATAACTCCTACAAAGAAAAGTATTCAGTTACACAGGGTGAATTTCAAAGGCGCATAAACTGTTCGATATCATATACCAAACATCTAAGCGACATCTTGCGAAACAAAATTTATACGCAAGAAATAAAAGTGGCGGAAGAAAAAAAAAAAAAAAAAAATAATAATCAGAACAAATACAATAGGTCTTTCCACTTTCCACTTTTCTAATAATAATAAGAAGAAACGGGACAAAAACATAAAGTCCCCAAAACTCCGTTTTGGCGACTTAATAATAATAAGAAGAAACGGGACAAAAACATAAAGTCTCCAAAACTCCGTTTTGGCGACTTAATAATAGGGAAAAAGAAACAGAGGAAAAGCAATATGTCACCAGACATTGTCGATCTGGTGACATAATAATAGGGAAAAAGAAACAGAGGAAAAGCAATATGTCACCCGACATTGTCGATCGGGTGACATAACAAGTAATCCTGTGTTAGGATGCTAACACAAAAGTCGCCAAAACGACCCCCAACCATTGTTCTGCTGTTTCCATGGTAATGGCAGCCATTTTGAAATTTCAAAGTCGGATAGCACATCTACACATGACATGTCACATTACTTACAAGTTTCATAAAAATTGGACCAATTTTCAAATTTAGGCATTCGTGTTTCCATGGTTACGATGGCAATTTTGGAAATTCCAAAGTCAAATGCCACATCAACATACGACAGTCAACATTTGTGTAAAGTTTCATTAAGTTTGAAGCATTTTGAATTTTTTGACATTTTTGCAGTTTCCATGGTAACGGCAGCCATTTAGAAAATTCCAGTCGGATGGCACATCTACACATGACAGGTCACATTACTGTCAAGTTCATAAAGATTGGACCAAATCTAGATTTTTCGCCTTTTTGTTGTTTCCATGGCAATGGCGGCAATTTTGGAAATTCCAAATCTACATACACTTGTTAACATCTCTGTAAAATTTCATTAAATTTGAAGCATTTTTAAAAAAATTCACATTTTTGCAGTTTCCATGGTAACGGCAGCCATTTTAAAAATTCCAAAGTCGAATTACAGCTACATATGGTGCTACCTGTAATAATCTATCATTATATAACATAAAAAGTACATAGGAATAATTCAACACTATCACATGACTAATCACATGACTATTGTTCTAGAATGTTCCATGAAAATTGACCCCCTAAAATAATGCCAAGATGACCCCGGGCTGAAATAAAAAAATATGGAATGGACACCTGGACATCGGTCTCTTGTATTACACAAAACTTAAAGGTTCTACCAGTAGCGAATCAATAGTCGAAAAATGACCCCACCCATGTTCCGGCCCCCCAAATAGTGCCAAGTTGACCCCCATTTGAAATAAAAAATAGTGAATGCACCCCTAGGGATACTACCCCATCATCATACCAAATACTAAATATAAAGTTTCCATCATTTAAGGCTTGGAAGAAAATGATCGGACAAATTAGGGTAAAGAAGAATAATAATAATAATAAATATAAATCAATTGTTTTAAAAACAATTGTTAAACGGTCTTTCCCCTCCGAAACATGATTAATTGGTTTTTTGGTTGGTTGGTTGGTTGGTTGGTCGGTCGGTCGATTGATCGATTGATTGATTGATTGATTGCATGGCACTTTCTCTGTGCGACGCAGCTAACTTAAATAACGCCTATAATCTGACCGAACGTGACTGCGTACTTAGACACCCCGCACAGCCAAACTAAAGCCTGAGATGTCCTCATAAAAATTGATCCTAGCATCATTCGTTTATAAATTTTCTCTAGTTTCTATGTTACCTCGGACTTCTATTTGTCATCTATTTGTTGTGTATGCATTTTGATTGAATTTGTAGGAAAACGGAGTAAATTTTATCTTGGAAGTTTTATTTTCCTTATTTGGATATGCAATGTTTTATTTTAAATTTAGGTCCGCGCGCGAGATGGTGTTGTGAAGTCACGTGACACTCGAATATATATGTCTGGAGTTAGAATATTAATTTCTTTTCAGGGGAGACCGTTGAACAGAGCACATGTGTATTGATCAGAGAAACACGATAACTATTGTTTTTATTTTGTACAGGTCATTGATGTCGGATCACGCATACATATTACGTACACATGTTTACGGGAGCACAGATTTGTATTTTAATGCATGTTTAGAAATTTGATTGTAGGATTTCAGTAATATTTACGAACTTAAAGGATCGATTTCTACGACATTGATTTTAATTTCGCAATCAAGCGGACCGCACGTGTCTCATAGATTAATTTCAGAAAATACATGAATTGGAGCAGATTTTTGCAGGGATGGATTTCTATTTCAGAAAGAAATTTGTACATAAGAAGGATTGGCATTTTACAGTATAATGTACGGGACTAAAAGCGATTTTCTTTTCATAGAAATGGGATAACTTAAAAAAAAATCAGTTGAAAAAAAGGGGGGGGAGTGTAGTGGTAGACTGTGGTTGATAATTGAGATAAGAAACATTTACAACATGATAGCTGCAAAGTTTGAAGTTTTGATAAGTAATTTGTTGATTCGACCATAACAGGGACATTGACCCTGCAATAAAATGACGCGTACCATTTCGACAAAAATTTTCTAGTAAACACCTGTCGCGACAAACTTTTTGGTTAAATTGTTTTGTCGATATCTATAACTCTTTCTAGGAAGAAGCGATATGAACTTAATGTAAAAAATCACAACATGACCTTGACCTAGTTTTCTATTCTTAAGGACCAAGGACCTCAAATCAACAGACCCTAGGTCTCTATCACTTATGGTTTACCAGCTACAAATGCATATCACTTATTTCAAATGCATAAGAGGAAATAACTCTCATATGGAATATTCATATCGCTTCGGTCAAAATAGGACAAATCATGCAAAGGATATAATGAGCAATTTTATGAAATAAATTTGTCGCTTTCTTTTACGGTTACGGAGGAGATGCAGTCACAAGGAAAACAGTGTTGGGGGAGATAACTCCTACAAAGAAAATTGTTCGGCTTAGAACGGGTGAAAATAAAAAGCGCATAAACTGTATGATACTATATAAGAAATATCTAAGCGACATCTTGCGAAACAAAAATTTTACGCGAGAACAAAATTAGGCGGAAGAAAAAAATAATAATAATAAATATAAATCAATTGTTTTAAAAACAATTGTTAAACGGTCTTTCCCCTCCGAAACATGATTGGTTGGTTCGTTGGTTGGTTGGTTGGTCGATTGATCGATTGATTGATTGATTGATTGAAAGTTTGCATGACACTCTCTATGCGAGGCATCGGACTTGACGTTCATATTCTGACGAGGCTGCGTATTTGTATATCCCGCACTCCCAAACGAACCGTTTCAGGATTTCCTAATAAATAAAAATCCTAACATCCTCTTTTTTTTCTAATTTTCTCTATTTGCTACGAGAACTGATACTTCATGGTTTCTTTTATGTGTTGTGTGTACATTTTGTTTCAACTTGTAGGAAGAAAAAAAATGAGTAACATTTTGTCTTGGAAGTTTCACTTTCCATATTTGGATATGGATCTCGAATGTTTTATTCTAATTTTAGGTCCGCGCGCGTGATGATGTTTTGAAGTCACGTGACGCTCGAATATATATGTCTGGAGTTAGAATATTAATTTCTTTTCAGGGGAGACCGTTGAACAGAGCACATGTGTATTGATCAGAGAAACACGATAACTATTGTTTTTATTTTGTACAGGTCATTGATGTCGGATCACGCATACATATTACGTACACATGTTTACGGGAGCACAGATTTGTATTTTAATGCATGTTTAGAAATTTAATTGTAGGATTTCAGTAATATTTACGAACTTAAAGGAGCGATTTCTACGATATTGATTTTAATTTCGCAATCAAGCGGACCGCACGTGTCTCATAGATTAATTTCAGAAAATACATGAATTGGAGCAGATTTTTGCAGGGATGGATTTCTATTTCAAAAAGAAATTTGTACATAAGAAGGATTGGCATTTTACAGTATAATATACGGGACTAAAAGCGATTTTCTTTTCATAGAAATGGGATAACTTAAAAAAAAATCAGTTGAAAAAAAAAGGGGGGGAGTGTAGTGGTAGACTGTGGTTGATAATTGAGATAAGAAACATTTACAACATGATAGCTGCAAAGTTTGAAGTTTTGATAAGTAACTTGTTGATTCGACCATAACAGGGACATTGACCCTGTAATAAAACGACGCGTACCATTTCCACAAAAAATTTCTAGTAAACACGTGTCGCGACAAACTTTTTGGTTAAATTGATTTGTCGATATCTATAACTCTTTCTAGGAAGAAGCGATATGAACTGAATGTAAAAAATCACAACATGACCTTGACCTTTGACCTTGACCTAGTTTTCTATTCTTTAGGACCAAGGACCTCAAATCAACAGACCCTAGGTCTCTATCACTTATGGTTTACCAGTTACAAATGCATATCATTTATTTCAAATGCATTAGGGGAAATAACTCTCATATGGAGTCTTCGTATCGCTTCCGTCAAAATTGGACAAAAAATCCTGAGGATATAGCGAGCCATTTGGTAAAATAAATTTGTCGCTTTCTTTTACGGTTATGGAGGAGATGCAGTCACAAGGAAAACAGTGTTCAGGGAGATAACTCCTACAAAGAAAATTGTTCGACTTAGAATGAGTGAAAATAAAAAGCGCATAAACTGTATGATACTATATAAGAAATATCTAAGCGACATCTTGCGAAACAAAAATTTTACGCGAGAACAAAATTAGGCGGAAGAAAAAAATAATAATAATAATAATAATAATAATAATAATAATCAGAACAAATACAATAGGTCTTTCCACAGAAAAGTGGAAAGACCTAATAATCAGAACAAATACAATAGGTCTTTCCACAGAAAAGTGGAAAGACCTAATAATCAGAACAAAAACAATAGGTCTTTCCACAGAAAAGTGGAAAGACCTAATAATCAGAACAAATACAATAGGTCTTTCCACAGAAAAGTGGAAAGACCTAATAATAATAATAAGAAACGGGACAAAAACATAAAGTCCCCAAAACTCCGTTTTGGCGACTTAATAATAGGGAAAAAGAAACAGAGGAAAAGCAATATGTCACCCGACATTGTCGATCGGGTGACATAATAATAATAAGAAACGGGACAAAAACATAAAATCCCCAAAACTCCGTTTTGGCAACTTAATAATAGGGAAAAAGAAACAGAGGAAAAGCAATATGTCACCCGACATTGTCGATCGGGTGACATAACTAGATTTGCCATTGCAAGCAATAGCTGATGGCACCCTTCCCCATTGCCAGGTGAGCAGCAGCCATTTAGCAAATTCCAAAGTCAAAGAGTGCATCTACACATGCAAATTATCATTTTTGTAAAGTTTCATTAAGTTTGGAGCATTTTGAAATTTTGAACTTTTTTGCTGTTTCCATGGTTACGGCAGCCATTTGGAAAATTCCAACTGCAAAATGCAACTCTGCCCATGCCAGTTACCATTTCTGTAAAGTTTCATCCAGTTTGCAGCATTTTGATTTTTTTTTAAATTTTGGACATTTTTGCAGTTTCCATGGTTACAGTGGATAATTCCAAAATTCTAAAAGCAGACATCTCATTGCACATGTCGTAGAATAACAGTATGTCACCCCAACTCCATTGAGGGTGCCATAAAAAGAAACGTAGAATAACAGTATGTCACCCCAACTCCGTTGAGGGTGCCATAACTAGATTTGCCATTGCAAGCAATAGCGGATGTCACCCTTCCCCCATTGTCACTAGATTGCAGCCAGTTTTAAAATTTTATAGAACATTATACATTATTGGTATTTACTGTGCAGTTGTATAAGTCCCCAGTTGCCATGGTGTAACTAAATTTACATGTTTTTATATTCTTGAATAAATAATAGTTTAGTACTTAGGTAGTAATTGTATATATATGTACACTTCCGTCGTACTAAGTTATTACAAACTACAGACATGTATTAATTAGGAATTGAGGGTTGGTTTAATGCATTTGAGACAGCAACTCAAAGCAAGAATTATCAATTATGTGTTTAAAGAGTAGATATGGGGTAAATGAAAGAGACATTAACTTGATATTGATATAACTTATACTAGCTAGTATGTAGGTTTTATAGCTTATTGGTTCACTGTTGAAATTCTAGAAGGGTCAATACCCTGCAAATTTGGTTTAGGGAATGACAGTATGTGTCATGTTCTTGCTTCAGTTTTTTCACCCTATATAAATGGTCTACAAAAAGTGAAGTCATAAATTAGATTTAGTGCGCTGTTTGTGAAAAATTGCATTAAATGTAACAGTTAAAGTTCCGTAACTCTTGAACAACAAGCTGGAAAATTAAACAAAATCCCAAGGGAGCTTCCTTTCATCAATCCCCACACTAATGTAAAGTTTGGAGGAAATCAATTCGAGAATACTGGGGTAAGTGCACAATTTATGAAAAATTCCCTTAAATCTAAGGGTCAAAGTTCCATAACACTGGAATGACATATCCAAAAATTAAAAAAATCGACCGTCAATTCTAATGTTGGGTGAAAGTAACATGAGAATTGGTTAAAGCAAATTTGAGTTATCATAAGAAGTGTGTGTGTGTGGATGGATGGAAGGAAGGATGGACGGAGACATTGGTACATCATAAAACGTCCCGTCTTTGACAGGCGTATACAAATTGTTGAACGGCACTCATTTTCAAAACACACAAGATATTGCAGAAATAAACCTTTGATATACAGTTCATAAAAATCTGGCAAGAATTGTAAATGAGAGAGTGCTTACAAGACTTGACAGATGCAGTGTTCCCGGCTGCCCTAAATAGAAGGGCGGCCCGCCCTTGTTGCCCTTACCCCCACCATTCTGCCCTCCAAAGTAAAAGAATGCACCCCTCTGCCTTTTCAAAAAAATAAAATTTCCAAATTTCATGCCTACCGGCATTTCCGGTAAAATTGTTACCTGATTGTGTAACACTAATTAACTGACAATGGGATTAATTTAATATACCAAATGCTTTGGCAGTTTTATCACCTTTGTTAATGATTGTTTACTGCTATTTAGTGGATTTAAGATAATTGAACAAATACTAGATATTTAATACAGAATGAAATGTCCACATGTTATCCATTTGTAATGTTTATGTACAGCATGTACACCTGAAAAAATTAATTTCAGTAGGCATAACATAAAAAATAAAATCTTAAACAATTTTAAAGGCATACATAGTTTTGACTTAATTGGTAAAAAAAGTTTTGTTTCATAACCATGAGTATGAAATTTAAAGAAGAATCAAAGAAATTTGTACTTTGAACATAACAAGATTCACTTCCTGTTTTACCTCTTGTATTTTATAATCCTCCTGACATAGGAGCACTCAACAAATTAATTTTTAACAATGATGGAGACAAAAGTAACTGTTTATACCTTCTGCAATATATTATTGCATCAATATAATATGATCATCTCCTGTCTCACCTGTTATATTTATAAAACTCCTTACTGAGGAGCACTTTGGTGTGCACTTAAAAATACCTTTTTGTAACAATTCAAAAGATAATAAATAACTCTCAATAACATATATACTATATGTTTGAACAAGTAATTTAAATGTAGATAATTTAATTACATTAAACATTCAATTTTGCATGTATAACTCCATCTTTCAAAACGACTTGTTTATTTTTTTATAGATTGGTATAAGTTATAAAACATTGAAATTTCTGATGATTATTTTCCTTACCAAATGTACAAGTTTGTTTAGATTAACATCAAAATGATATGCTTTGCTTCATGGTATGATAATTTGATAAAAAAAATTCTTACTGGAGCCAACATGAAGAACATATTAATTTCTGAATATGGTTTAAATACAACTAATGTTCTCCAGCTGAGCCTAGCAATATTCAAGGTAATTTATACACTGTCCAACAGTGCCCTTAAAATCTGGGTTATAACGCTAAAGTGCCTTCAGACAACTAGCACCCTTCTACCCTGAGATTCAAGCTGGAACACTGAGATGGACATCAAGTATTTCTATATCCTTCACATAACTGTGCAGGGGTGGCAAAAACATATGCAATATAACAGAAGAATGATAGTTTTGTATGAGGACCTGTTGACCCTTGTCAGAACCCAAAATGGTTTATGTGACAGCATATAGGCAAAACTGCTATAAAACAATTTTCTGGCATGGACAAAAAGATGTGTCAATAGCTTATATTCCACCTTTTGGTCAATTGAGATCAAATGGGATAATTGTTTTGGCCTGTATGACAATGATGAAAAAAACAGCATCATCATATAAAAATTACGTTTTTGTATAAAAATGTAGTGTTCTCAACCTACCTGCAAATGTTCTGAAAACTGACCCATTGCAAACAAGGCTCCATTTCTCACACCTTGGTCTGGATCGTTCAGTCCTGTCACTACGCAGTGTAACAAAGCCTGAAGATGTCTGAAAATTTTTAACAATACTATAATATTAACATAATTTAACAAAGACAACATTTCACATTTCCTAGTTGAGTGAACCATGTTAACACATAATAATATGTTCCAAGATTGAAGTGACAATGAATTGATGGTAAATTATCTTAACCTAAAATTCAACCTAACAATGTACAGATTTCACACTACTAGTCTACTGTAAATTCAGAAATTTTGTGATGTTTTTATTAAAGTCATGTGAAACTTCAAATTCAAAACAAAAGTTGAATATGTTTTATATACTTGAATGGATAAGTTGTACTATAAAACAAGTGTACACGAACATAATTGTAAAAGAAAATCCTTTATATTATCAAAATCTTCATAAATATACTGCTATTGAATTATTGTCTTCCCCTACACTAATTCGCCAATATTTTCCCGTATGCAGTGACCTTAACTACGAGACCTCTCATTAGAACTTAGGCCACCGCACAGCGCATGTGTGAGGGGAAAACCGTGATAAAAGAATGTAAGCAAACGTGCACTAGAAGGTAAATGATTCTTCAAAAACAAATTAAATTCATCAAATCATTGTTAAGGAAAGGTTTAATTAACAAATGGGAATGCATGTATAATATAAAAATAAAATGCTCCGCTGGGGCGCAGCTTGATACGACCGCAGAGGTCGAACCCTGAACAGTTGGGGCACGTATGGACACAACAGTCAAGCTTGATACAGCACTGAATTTGGATTGTAATTAAATATTTGACACAGCATAGGTTTCTGACACAGAATGAATGTGGTCCAAGAACTTAAAAAATTTTAATTTACCTATTCAAACCATATCATTATTATTTGCTTTTATATATAAATCAGATATAACCAATTTAAAATGGAAAATTTTAAAGAAAAAAAAATCCCCCCCCCCAAATTTTTTGAACCCCCTTATGATTCATCACCCCCAAACTCAATCCCAGCCTTCCCTTTGTGATATGGTATCTTACAGTACAATTTCAGAGAGATCCGTACACTTGAACACAAGTTATTGTCTGGAAACTAGAAAAATGCTTGTTTTTTTGCCCCTTTTTGGCCCCAAATTCCTAAACCTTTAAGGCAATTACCCTCAAACTCAAACCCAGCTTTCCCTTTGTGATATGGAACCTTGCAGTACAATTTCATAAAGATTCATACACTTACACACAAGTTATTGTCCTGAAACTAGAAAAATGCTTGTTTTTTTGCCCCTTTATGGCCCCGAATTCCTAAAATTTTGAGGGAATTACCCCCAAAATCAATCCCAGCTCTCCCTTTGTGGTATGGTACCTTGCAGTACAATTTCAGAGAGATCCATACACTTAAACACAAGTTATTGTCTGGAAACTAGAAAAATGCTTATTTTTGGCCCCTTTTTGGCCCCTTATTCCTAAACGTTTTTGGCAATTACCCCCAAACTCAATTCCAGCTTTCCCTTTGTAATATGGAACCTTGTAGTACAATTTCATAAAGATCCATACACTTACACACAAGTAATTGTCATGAAACTAGAAAAATACTTGTTTTTTGCCCCTTTTTGGCCCCTAATTCCTAAAACTTGGAGGGAATTAACCCCAAAATCAATCCCAGCATTCCCTTTGTGATATGGAATCTTGTGGTACAATGTCAGAGAGATCCATACACTTACACACAAGTTTTTGACATGAAACTAGAAAAATGTGTTTTTTGCCCCTTTTTGGTCCCTAATTCCTAAAATTTGGAGGCAATTACCCCTAAAATCAATCCCAGCATTCCCTTTGTGATATGGAACCTTGTGGTACAATGTCAGAGAGATCCATACACTAACACACAAGTTATGTCTGGAAGTTACAAAAATGCTTATTTTTGGTCCTTTTTGGCCCCTAATTCCTTAACTGTAGGTACCATAACCCCCAAAATCAATCCCCACCTTCCTTTTGTGGTATCGAACCTTATGGTAAAATTTCATAGAGATCCATTCACTTAAACTAAAGTTAGAGTGCGAAAACCAATGTGTCTTCGGACGACGACGACGCCAACGTCATACCAATATACGACCACAAAATTTTTTTGCGGTCGTATAAAAACATCACGGCCCTATCAATTCACTTATTTTTCACATGCTCAACATGCTCTGTGTTGATTGTTTATCAATGTCTGGTAAAATTCAGCAACAAACTCGATAGTTAATTAGCTTGCAATCAACAAGCAATGAATGAAATATTATTTGTTAATAATACGTTATAGTTTGTAATAAATGTAAAAAAAAATGTGCATACAGGACTTAGTTTAGTATATATGTATGCATTGGTTCAATAATTTCAATAACATGTTAATTACATAAAACTTGTTTCATATGATTTTAATGCGAAAAATGCAAAAGTATCAGGTTCACAATAATAAAAACTAACATTCATTATTTCAGTAGTGATTTTCTCACAAAATATTTGCAATCACCAATGGTAAGTATTGATTTATAATTTGTATTATTTCATAACCCGAATATTCCAGCCTTTATATTCCGCTCACTACAATCAATCCACCTCTGTATCAAGGATCAGGAAATTTTTTCACACAATTTCGGTCATTTTTAGATGCTTTGAAAGTTTTGGTCTTTTTTTCAAACTATCGAAATTATTCACACTAGATTCATGGCATCAACTAACTCGTATGCTTTCATTGCATTTACTTCATGAAATTTCTTACCGGTTTTATAAAAATTTTCAAAATGAATTATGGAATGCAAAACTTTAAAATTGAAATTATTTAAAAGGCTCAAAACGGTAAATTTCTTAGGAATCGCCAACCCTTCTTCAGATTATGAAGACGAAAATAAAACTGGAAATTTCAAGTTATTACTTAATTATGAGTGATTCCTAATTCAATTACCAGATTCGTTCTGTTTACCAAATGACAGGAAATCATCATATTTTTTATTTTATTAGTTGTAAAAACATAAACAGTACCAATTTTAATGCACCAGATGCGCATTTCAACAATAAATGTCTCTTCAGTAATGCTCATGGCCAAAATATTTGAATATCCAAAATCTAATACAAATGTTGAAGAGCGAAGCAAACCAAAAGATCTAAAGTGTAGCCAAAGTGTTTGAATATAACTGACAATTAGTTTGACTTGTTTAATTTAGCATGAAATCTTTTTTGAATTTGACAATTAAGTGTCTAATCTGGTGAAGACAATTTTACGCATGTGTATTACAATTTACATAGTAAAAAAAGCAAATAATTGACTTGTGAAAAATTACTTTTTTCAACATACATTTAATAAAAGTTTTAATTTTTGAAATCAGAATTGGCGATTGTCTTTATTGAAAAGTTCTTAAAAAATGAAGTAAGTTATAATGGAAAAGAATTTCTTCAAAATATTAGTTCTGAGCTTGATCACTTCTGTCAGGTGTGAAGAACACAGGTAAAAAGTGATTAGCGATCATCATAAGCCAATAACTCCCGGAGCCTATCAGGGTATCATGATTATCATACTATACTGGAGTGGCAGTTTTATTACCAGAAAAGCATTTCAAAACAAAATTATGAAAAATGGCGATAAGAAACCGTATCTTAATGAAATGACCAAATTTTTTTCTGTAAAAAAATAAAAGTTGACCTAAATCCCAATCTACCATTTGGTCAATGACCTTTCAGTTTAGGTCATGACTGAAAAATATGACTGTTTCTGGACCCTTGCTCTGGAGAACACCGACGGTAAGAGGGCGCTGAACTAATCTGACCTAAATCCCAATTTACCATATCCGTCACAGACCTTTCAATTTAGGTCATGACTGGCAAATATGACTGCTTCTAGACCCTTGCTCTGGAGGACACTGACCGTAAGAGGGCCCTGAATTATTCGAGTTAATTCTTTCATTAAAATTCATTGATATCATTAAATGCACAAATCTAGTCTTGTGTAGATATTACTCTAAGGTTAATAAGTTTGTGAATTTCACTTAATTCTCCGAGGGCTACATAAGTTTATAAACAGGATATAAACTACACAGTAATGGCAAGTATTGATTTATAATTCATATTCTGTCATTAAAATCCAGTGAATCATTATTGATAACATAACATAACAGTAGTTATGCATCAAGATCATATGATTGTTGCAATTATATAGAAATATTTTCAATCATATCTGTTGTTTATGCATACCTATACATGTCATTAATGTACTTAATTAGAACATCTATGATTTTGAATATATATCTTTGAATGAGAATACATTGGTTTATTTGTATTTTGTACTCCTCTGAATGCCTTTTTTAAAAGTATTTAGTCTAAATAATTCAGTTTTATAAGGGTCAGGTCAACACATATCATGGGGGATATCCCCCATAAAGCGAGAAAGTTGGCAGGTCTGCAGGGTTGGCATTTTTTACATACTTTTGAACAGATAAAATTAAATCAGCGTTTTCTTCAGCACTCAAAGCATCATCACTAAATATTAATAAATCTCATCTTTTAAACAACAAATTGAAAGTAGAGTTGGCTGCTATCTTTAACTTTTTATTTTTAATCAGATAGGGGAAAAAGTGCTAGGGTAGGGGGTTAAAATATGCTTGGTTGGGAACCAGAACAACACATATATTTTTATTTGGCCTTATGCTAAAATGGCAAACTACATCAGTTGTTGACTCCAGCCATGTAAATGCCTTACAATGAATGAATTTTGCAGGACATGTTTGGGAAATATGACTGTTTGAGAAGATATATATTAAACCCTAATTTAACATAATTCAACTTAATAAACATGTTTACTTGGTTTATTGACAATTCTTCAATATTTAAACTATCTAATTCTCGTTTATTTAACAATTGTGAAACAAAAGATGGGCTCGGTGTTTATTTAGCAATTAAAATTGTTATAGGAAAGATATAGTGTAACAAGTATTTGATGTATAATATAATTTTCATATCATACTTCTTATGAATATATGTCAATTAAAAACAAATTCTGGAAAAATACAGAAATTACTTAGATTAAGTATAACA